GAGGGGGCTGGGATTTAGGGGAGATGGGGCGGGGGGAGGCCATGATGGAGGATGGCTGGGGGTGGGGGTTGAGAAGAACTCGAGTTGCGGGACTGGGTGAGGAGGATGGGATGAAGTGAAGGGTGGGTTTGTGGAGAAAAGTCGGGAAAGGAGAGAGGGTCGAGAGATGGGGGAACCGCCGGACAAGGGGAAACCTGGGGGCCACAGTTGCCCCACCTGGGATATTTGGCGTGCGGCATGCCCCTTCCCGGGACTTAGTGCTTTGGAACCCCTGGATGCCCCATAAAACCTCTAGGAGACCCCCTCCCTCATTTCCTCGCATTGTCTCCTGAGGTGAGGAGGGGGCATTGTCTCCTGAGGAAAGAGAGGCTTCTGGCCCCCACCCAATGCTGGATGGACCAAGAAGTGGGAGAGCAGAGGCCCCTTGGTCCCAACCCTAGCTCTAACGTCAACAGATGTAACAACTCTGTGTGACCTTGGGCAAGTCACTACCTTTCTTTGGGCCTCATATTTCCCATCAATTAAAAAAAAAAAAAAGGAAGATGCATGAGAATGATATCCTCGATTTCTTCCTGCTCCAAAATGGGGTGGTTCTTGAGGAGAGAGTTCAGGAGAATGGGTTCTGGGACGTGGTGAAGCAAAGGAAAAGGATGAAGATGGAGGCAGGCCTTCGACTGGGGCTGCAGACAATCCCCTGGGATGTTGGGGGATGGTAGGCACAAAGCAAGGCTGGGGCAGGCTCGCCAGCACCTCTGGAATTAGGTTGGAGGGATGGGAGAACTCTGTAAGTAGAGGAGGAGGTTGAGACCTCACCTGAGAAAGATGAAGACAAGAAGTAACATTCTGTTTATCAGGGAGAGTGATGAAGAGATGGCAGGATCAGAGAGAAGGAATGAAAGGTATTTTCTAATAAGATGGCCAGTGTCTTTGGGGAGAAGGAGTAATAATAACGCTGGTACAGTAGAGTGGAGACTAGGATGAGCTTGAAAATAGGGAGGGGGAGGCTGGTGCTGTTTAGGGCAGCAAGTAGAGGTAGACCACAAGGTAATCGGCTGGTCTCTCGGCCTCCATGTTACTTTTCTTTTTGATAATTGAGACCTCTTTCTGAGAGGTGTGCCTCCCAGCCTTCGTTTTCCAAAACAAATCCCTTCAGGGAGTAAGTCAGGCCCGGTCAACCTTAGGATCACCTGGCTGTCCGAGGATTTCAGGATTGTGTGAGGATTGGGGTAAAAAGAAAACAGGGGAATGAATCTGAATGTAAGAAACACCTGTGGCACCATCGTCCTTGCTGGGAGGCTGCTTTATGGAGTAGTTGAAAGCACAGGCTTTGGGGTCAGATTGCTTGGATTCCAAACTTGCCTTTAACATTTAATGTCTTGGAACCTTGGTCAAGTTACTTGGTCTTTCTGAACCTCAGTTTCTTTATAAAATGAGGATAATAAGCTCTAAGATGGTTGCAAGGATTAAATGAGTGACATAGTATCTGGCTCATAATAAGCACTCAGTAAATATTAGCTATTAGCTGTTATTATTCCCTCTTTCTGTTCTCTTCCTCTGTCTCTCCATTCTCCTTTTCTCCTTTTGTTCTTTCTTCTGAATCTTCAGTTCTGAGAAGAATTGATTGTGTTTTGGGGAGGATGGAGGGGGGGTCCTTCCACTGGTCCAGGTGAACACATGATGATCAGATGATCAGTTATCTCTTCATTTTCTGTTCCCAGCCCACAAATGTGTTTTTGTTCCAAGGAAGACACACGATCTGCTTCTCTTTTAACCCCCTTTCCTATGTCCCTCTCTCACATGAGTTATTTCTTCAGATTCTCACCTGGAAGTGTAATAAGACCTAACATTGTAAAGGCTCTGGAGCAAGTGAGATGGGGTAGGGGGATTTCAGGAAAGGATGAACGTATACATATCACACAGGGGAGGCTCAGGGAAGGGAAGGCTTTGGAAGTTCCAAAGTTCCATAGAAATTTATATTCGTTCCATTACTCTGTCCTCTGTAGGGAACTGTCCAAAACAGGCTAGTGTCTGGATCCTGGCCCGGGGGGGGGCTCCTTTCCAAGTTAAAGATGGTCATTTACAGTTAGGTTTTTTGGGGTGTTTTTTTAGGTCTGCCTATGCCAGTTCCCTATCCCCAGTCACACAGACCTCTGCCTCCTATGTCCCTCTCATCACAGTTAGCTTTTACCCAGAGAATTTATACAAATGTACCTGGGTACATGTGCACACACGCACACATTTGCCTCTTTTTAGGATATTCCAGTATGCAAAAATAAGATTAGGGATAAGCCTGCATTTTATCACAGCATTTTGTGCGCAGGGGCCTGGCTAGACGCTCAGAGGAGGCTTAAAAGGAGAAAAAATTGCTGAATGTAGGGAAGTTCTCACCTGAGTAGGGAGACAGGCAGAATCATGTGAAACACCCAGCAAACATCCACAGACTGGCATGCCAATCTGGGCGAAGTCGTGCAGCATTTATCCTGAGGGGACACAGGTAGGAGTGTGTGTATGTGTGGAGGATAATCACAAAGGTAACCTGAAGGAGGTGAATGCTGGATCATCTTGAGCAAACTGAGCAACAAAGCAGAATAAAAGAAACATGGAGTACTCTTAACAATTCCTGTGCAGAGGGGAGGGAGGATATCACAGAGTCAGGAGGAGCCAAGACGTGTGTGGGATGGGTCTTATTTAAACGCTTTGAATATTAGATAAGAGATTCTATAGGGTGGGCAGTAGGGAGCCACCACTGGTTCTCAAGCAACAAAGTGTTGGAACATTCCTGGTTGAACCACATGGTTCTTGGGGGATATGCTGGAGTCAAAAAACAGACCTGCTTCCTGTGGCAAGAATTGTGCTTTTAAGGGAGTAGGGCTGGAGGGCAGACTGGATCCAGTCCTGGCTCTGTCCCTAACCAGCAGTGGGACCTGGGACCGATTAATTTCCCTTGCTTTTTCATCTGAAGAAAGGAGACTGCCTAGGGTGGTTGCCAGAGTCCCCTCCAGCTCTGACATTCTGTGTTCCCTGAATAACCGCTAGGCCTTCCAGTGGTTTTGTGGGACCTGCCGAGTCATTAAGTCAACAAATACTTAATAGCAGGCACTGTATGCCAGGAGGGGGTGGTGGGAAAATACAGTGGCGTTAGGATATTTGGGTAAGCAAAAACAAATCCCTGCTGCTTGGCATTTTCAGCCTAGTGGATGTAGCAGATATTTCATTGATTCCAAGACTTATATTTTAACATTTCTGAAGTTAAGGTGCATCTTAAAATCAATGGAGTATCATAACTTCATTGGTAGCATTTGTTTTTCATTAATGACACATAAAATAATAGTACAATCAGAATTGTATAAATAACTGTAAAATTCCAGTGAATAATTGCTGAAGAGGAGGGTACATGGTGTACGAGCCTATAAAAGAGGGCTCTGACTAGTCTGCTGGGTTGGGAGAAAGGCTTTCCTGAGGAAATGATGACTGATAAATGTGAAGGATATGGAGGCAAGTGTGTAGGGCTAGAGGGAAGATCGCCCCAGGCAAAGGCTGATGTCTGAGGCGGGAGGACTGAGAGAAAGAGCTCAGCATGTGTGAGGAAGGCAAAGGCATTTGGGAAGCCAGCCTCCCACAGCCTCCAAGGTCCTGGGCACAGGTTCTGGTCTTTACCCTAAGAACAGTGAGAAGTCATTAAAAAGTTTTAAGCAGGGAAGTGTCATGGCCTGAGGTTGGAGTGGATATGAGGAGACCAGTCAGGAGGCCACTGCAGTAGGTCATATGAAATGAGGGGTGGTAGGGGTGGAGGAGGAATGGAGAGAAATAGATGGATTCAAGAAATCTTTAGGAGGTGAAATTAACATGACACGCTGATGTACTGACAAGAAGAGGGAGGTGTGGTGAATGACTCACAGGTTTCTATCTTGGACAACTGTGTTGGTTATGGCACCAGTCTCTGAGATGGGCAACCCTGGAGCCTGGTAGGACCTAAAGATATGTGGTGTCTGGGAGGTTAGAGAAGACCCTGAGGCACCTTGGGTGGTAAAGTGTGGCCCAGAGAATTGATTTCCTCTCATGTTGATTTGTTTCTGACTTCCCATGCTGAGGAAAGTTTCAGGGAGCAGGAGCAGGTTTGAATACATGGATAAGAGTAGCTAAACAATGAGAAAAGGTGACTCAAGTTGGTGTAGTTAGACTTATCCCCTTCTCTTCTTAGAACAAGATGGGTGGGAAGAGAGGAAGGGCAGATGTTGCTGAAGGTGGAGATTAGAAAGCATTTTTAAATACTGAGCCTTTTCACCATCAGGATAATTGGGAAAGTAGGGAAATCGGGCAGCAGTGAGCCAGTTCCCACTTCCCATGGAATTTCTCCCTGCCACCTCCTACCTTCCAAGCAAAGAGGAAGAAAGGCCAGGTCTTTTAGCTGCATCTCTGTGCCCCAGTTTACTTAAAAAAATTTTTTTGAATGGGTATATAGTCATGTGGGTGCATGTTCAAAGTTATGAAAGGGCATACAGTGAGAATTCTCCTTTCAGCCTCTGTCCCCCTTCTCGTTTCTTTTCTCTGTCCCCCTCTGTGTCATCTTTTGTCTCTGATTTTTGTACAGGTGGTAAAACTTTGCTGCACTTTGCTTTTTTCTCCCATTCAGTTATGCGTCTTAGAGATTACTACCTATCAAGACAGTGAGCCTCTTCATTCTTTTTTATGACTGCATCATATTCCATTTTTGTGTGTAAAATTTCATAGTTCTTCACTGTTGGATATTTAGGCTGATTGCAGCCTTCTGTTTTTTACAAATAATGCTGATTTGAAATGTGGGGCTATATCTATAGGATGAGTTTTTAGAATTGGAAGGTTCTATATAAAGATTTGTTCTTTCATTTGTTCTTTCATTCACTTAATATTTGTTGAGTACCCATTATGTGCCAGACACTGTGGCAGGTACCAGGAATCCAGTTTTCAACAAGTCAGATATGATCTCTGCCTTCTGAAATGTTACTACTCTAGTGAGGGGAAACACATTTCCAAGCAAATATAATAATTACAAAATTGTATACATGAGGAAACTAAAAAGGGGATCAAATAGAGAATAAATTGGAAGTGCTTTAAATAAATTCAGGAAAGCTTCTTAGAGCAAGTGATATTTAAGCTGAGAACTAAAGGGATGTACATGGTTAGCCATTAGGTGTAGGACAGGGAGACCGAGGCTGTTCAAAGCCTCATCCACTGGGACATGAGTTCAGAATCTGTAGGGAAGGTGATGACCACTGAGCAGGGGCAGAGGGGAAGAGGGGCAGAGGGGCAGAGAAGTAGAGCTAAAGCAAAGAGGGAGGCAAATGGGAATGTAACATGTCAGAGAGAATGAGTGAGTCACTAAAGACGAGGCCGGTTAGGGGAGGGGCTGGTAGTGAAGAGAGGAGAGTTAGGGAAAATAGTACTTATGAAGGACTAGTGACTATGTTTAGAGGGATTTGGGCTGAATCTCTATAACTGGCTGAATTCAGATAGGTGAACAGGAAAAGAGGCCAGTTCCTCCCTGATACTTTGGGAATGAAAGACCTCTCTAACTGGTTTGAGGGAGGCACAGCCTTGCCCACAGGCAGAGAGTGGATGAAAAGCCTTGAGAAGAGCCCACCTGTGCCTGTAGTAGAGCCTCCTTCATCTTTTCTTGATTTGGGCAAAATGGAGACTTCCAAAATAAAGATGACATTGAAGGGACTCAGGCAGCTGGCTCTGGGCTGGCAGAAGAGAAAACAGACCTACCCAGGGCTCAGAGCTGGGGGTGGGTAGGAAACTTGCCTTGGAGACCCTTCCTCTGAACTTTGTGCTCATTTTTCATCCTCACCCCTCTGCTTCCCTTCTGCAAAAGCCCATCTCTTCGCCCAGCCTGGGTCCTATGACTTTTCTCTCCCTCAACAGTCGGTTCCCGATTCTGGTCCCCGGCCCCCAGCAGCGCCTGCCCCCTTCCCACCGGGGCCCCCCATGATGCCACCACCCTTCGTAAGTTTTATGTCTTTCCCTGGGCTTGGCTTTTCCAGCCTGCAACCCAGCTCCCTAGTCCCTAGCACTGCTGTGTCACCAGCACAGGTTTTGTGTAATGCCCCCTTGTGTTGTCCTTGAAGAGGGATGGTTTTGCTTGGGCATTGGGATGGGAGGGACTGCTGTTAAACTCCCAGTCTATAAAACTGACAGCTCCCTCTTGGTCTTTTTGGCCTTGGGACACACTGGGGCTGGGGGAAGGAGAAGTGGATGGGTAAAGTCCCCGTTAATGTGAGGGCAGGGTGGGGATCTCTTTCTCTTTCACTACTCCTTGTCTGTAATCTTTGAATACACCACGAGGTCAGGCTGGAATAGCAACTGATAGTCATTGAGCTGGGGAAAAAGGGGTAGGAGGCAGGGGACTAGGGGATATGGGTACCTGGACACCTGCTTCTGGTCCTGCATCTGAGAGGCCCCTTTGGGGAGAATTGCTGAAGCAGTGGAGCCTTCCAGTCACAGTCTGGTGGTGGTTACACTTGCCTTTTCCCTCTCCCTTCCCTGCCTCTCAAGAAGCTGTGTACTTGCCTGTTAGACCCAGAGAACCTGCCTATTATCAGTCTCAGTGGTGAGGAGGGAGGCAGTGTCATGCCTCTCAAACTAAAGTCTTGCAATTGTCTCAGAGTCGGGTGGAGGGTGGGGTGCGAGATGAGTGGCTGTTTTCTGACAGGTACAAATCAGTGTCTTCTCTGCTCCGCATCTCTAACTTTCCTCCTTTCCAGATGCCCCCTCCAGGAATCCCCCCACCTTTTCCTCCAATGGGGCTACCCCCCATGAGTCAGAGACCACCAGCCATCCCTCCCATGCCACCTGGCATCATGCCCCCAATGCTTCCACCAATGGGGGCACCACCACCGCTCACACAGGTAATCTTCTCCCCTGCACCAGGGCCTCAGAAAACCCTGTCATGTCAGCTGGGGATAGAGATGAGAGTGGATATCTGGACTTCAAAACTGGGGAGGGGAGGCAGGGAACCTGGGGCCAAGCCCCTGTGGATTTGTCTGCTGAATGACTGAAGAACACTCTCAGGCTAGGCTGAGAGCTCAGAGCCTGGGGATTGCTGAGAAGGTGCCCACGTGAGAGTCACGGCCCCAGCAGGATCTCTCAGCACCCTACGCAGCCCGTGCTTGCCTTCAGTAGCTGGTTTTTGTCTCTTTGTATCCATAGATACCGGGAATGGTACCTCCCATGATGCCAGGAATGCTGATGCCCGCAGTGCCTGTCACCGCAGCGGTAAGCCCTGAGTAGGGGCAGAAAGTGGGCTCTGCCCCACAGCCCTGTGGGTCTGACTTGGAGTACAGGGACATGGCCTCCTTTCTTTCCCTCTTCTCATCACATCCACCCTGGGCCCAGCACTCCCCATGCTGAGTCCTCCTCTCCAGTCACATACTCAGCTCTTCTAGTTTCTCACTTGTCCCCAAAGGCATGTACATTCTCTCTGGTTACTCCCCCTGCTGCGTTCAGCTCCTTTGAGGAACACACTCATGAGTTACCACTGTGGACACTTGAGCACAGTTTCCTTTTCACATCTTTGTCGCTGGAGGAAGCAGCAGTATCTGGGGATCTCACTGTACCTTCTTGTGCTGTTACTCAGTGTAGTAGAATCTGGGTAGGATGTGGCATTTGGTACTTGCTGTGGAAGAGATTGGCCGTGGAGGTTGACTCAACAAAATCCTCTCACTTGAGGAAAACGAAGAAAGTTGCTGCTGTGTGATTTCCTCCTGGGGTCCTAGAGCCATGGCCCCGGAGGGTGGGGGAAGCCTGTTAGGGAGCAGAGATCCCTGGGAGCAGGACACGTGGATCCTGGCCTGGTCTGCTTCTCCATCCCCCATGGCCTGGGTCTTGGGGGCCACCGGGCTTGGCCCCAACCCTTCCCCCTCCTCTTTCTTCGGCAGACGGCTCCGGGTGCGGACACCGCCAGCTGTGAGTCTTCTGGGGGCCTGCTCCCCCCAGGCTCGGAGGTTGGGGGGGAAGGGGACCATGGACTAGAGCCCACCCTGGATCATGCCTGTTGGGGTGCCAGGGAGCCTGGGATGTTGATGGGGATATTTACTGGGGATGGAATAAGGGAGGAATAAGTGGGAACAAGATGAGAATTGGAGCAAGGATTTAATATGTTCCCTTTGACTTCTTTGTAGCTGCTGTGGCTGGGACAGGCCCTCCGGTGAGTTCTTTCAGCTCAGGGGTCTCTGGGTAGAAAGGCTGAAAGTGGGGGGCTGATGGTTAAATCTTTGGGGTGAGGAGGAGAAGCTTTGGGAAAGGGGCCTTGACCACCATTCTGTGCCCCCCCTCCCCCAGAGGGCCCTATGGAGTGAGCATGTGGCCCCTGATGGGCGCATCTACTACTACAATGCTGACGACAAGCAGTCCGTGTGGGAGAAGCCCAGCGTGCTCAAGTCCAAGGCAGAGGTCCTGAGTGGGCCTCTCTGGCCCTTCCTTTCAGCTGCCCTGACCCTTCCAAGTCCTTGGCCTCCCCTGAGTCTCTAACCATACACATGGCTCCTCTGATCCCAAGATCCCTGACCACCCCAACCTCCCTAGGATCTCAGGAAGTCCACCTTGCCCCAGGTTGAGCCAGGTCAGGTGGTAGTTAAGCAGTCCTGTGTCCCGTACTCACTGGGTCCCCTTAGCTTCCCTACCTGTGGCTGGAAGGTATGCCCCGCCCACTAATGTTCTCTGACCCATCCTCTTGCAGCTGCTGCTGTCCCAGTGTCCCTGGAAAGAGTACAAGTCGGACACAGGCAAACCTTACTACTATAACAACCAGAGTAAGGAGTCGCGCTGGACCCGGCCCAAGGACCTGGATGACCTGGAGGGTGAGGAGGGGGTGGGCCCAGGAAGGGGCTCTGGGGCGTGGCCCTTGCTACCCTATAACTATGTTATCCTTTCCTGTTGCAGCTCTGGTCAAACAAGAGGCTGCAGGGTGAGTGACTTGCCCACCTTGCCCACCTGTACATCCGTACTTGGGGCCACCTGAGGGGTGGGAGTGGCCTCTCCCCATGATCCCTACTCTGGGAGGAAGAGCCAGCTCTCAGTCTCCTTGTGGAGTGGTCTGCCCTGGCCCCAGTCCTGCGCAGGTTAGAGGGACCAGCCAGCCCCTGACCACCTCTATCCCTGCTGTACTGGACACTGCCCTTCCGGGTCACCTGCAGGAAACAGCAGCCGCCGCCACAGACACTACTACAGCCACAGCCTTCTCAGCCACAGCCTGACCCCCCACCTGTGCCACCTGGCCCCACCTCGGTGCCCACGGGCCTCCTAGAACCTGAGCCAGGTGGGAGTGAAGACTGCGATGTGTCAGAGGCTGCCCAGCCCCTGGAGCAGGGGTTCCTGCAGCAGCTGGAGGAGGGCCCCAGCAGGTGAGGGCTGCCCCTCTGCAACATTCCCAGCACTGACCTCAGGCTCCCAGCTGTGCTCAAGCCCTGACCTCTGCCAAGTTTCTCAGGAAGGGTGTAAAGATCTGGGTGTGACCTCTGAAGAGCAGAAAAGGGCTGCCCTGGGGAACGAGGAGGGGGTGTCCTGATCACGCGGGGTGCTGGAGGCTATAGGGATTGGGGGACACTGTGGCTGAATCCCCTCTGCCCCCAGTTCTGCTGGACGGCGTCAGGCACCACAGCAGGAGGAAGAAGAATCAAAGCCAGAACCAGAGAGGTCTGGCCTCAGTTGGAGCAGCCGGGAGAAGGCAAAACAGGCCTTCAAGGAGCTACTGAGGGACAAGGTGCTGAGGGTGGGGCTCCCAGGGTAGGCCTGGAGGGGGCTGGAGGTTGGCGGGCCCCGTGACCCCTGCCTGCTCCATTCTAGGCTGTCCCCTCCAACGCTTCGTGGGAACAGGCCATGAAGATGGTGGTCACCGACCCCCGTTACAGGTAGGCCTGGGCAGAGGGAGCCAGGCCCTCCAGACCCTGTTCATGAGAGCATTTGAGCCAGGGACTCCCTGAGAACCCCAAGGGTGCCAGAGTGAGGAGAGTGATGGATGGGTGAGCTTGCCAGGGGAAGAGAAGCTGGAGGGCCTTCAGGAGAAGGAAGGGAAAGAGATCTGTCGTGAGACATTCAATAAATGCTTGTTGAATTGAATTGATTTGAATTGAATTAATTGGGGAAAGAGGGGGCTGGATAGGGCAGGCCTGACTGCGACCTGAGAACCCCAGAGCCAAAGGGCCCAGGATTTGCAGTGCCGTGGAGCCCTGTCTCTTCCCCTCACTGCCTCTCACCCCTCCCCATGTCCAGAGACCTGTCCTGCGTCCCTGTGCCCTGGGAGCCCCTGCCGCCTGCTGTGCCCATGCACGGATACCTCAGTCAGCTCTGCTCTGTGGGCTGTGCAGTGGCGTTCAGGCTGACTCCTCTGTCTCCACCCACTCCCACTCTTCCATCCCAGTGCCTTGCCCAAACTGAGTGAGAAAAAGCAGGCATTCAATGCCTACAAAGCGCAACGGGAGAAAGAGGAGAAGGAAGAGGCCCGGCTAAGGGCCAAGGAGGCCAAGCAGACCTTGCAGCATTTCCTGGAGCAGCACGAGCGCATGACCTCCACAACCCGCTATCGGTCAGGGGGCCGGGCTGGGGTGGGGCCTGGACACCCTGAGAACCCATGGGCCCAGTCTGTTCTCTGCCTGCCTACCCACAGCCCATATACTCTACAGGCGGGCGGAACAGACCTTTGGCGAGCTGGAGGTGTGGGCTGTGGTCCCCGAGAGGGATCGGAAAGAGGTCTATGATGATGTTCTCTTCTTCCTGGCCAAGAAGGAGAAGGTAACAGTCACTGGGCTGGATCCATCAGCCCTAGTCTCATCTTAGACCCTCCATGTTTTTGCTTCCTTGTGGACCCCTGGCTGTTCACTTCTCTGCTGCCCCGGGGTCCCAGCTCTTTACTCAGAAGCTGGTGTGGCACCTGCACATCCACCATTTCTGCTCTGGGCATGGGAGGACGGGAGGGAGTCTCTCAGGGCTTCATCTGTAACCTGTGCTCCTTCTCCTTTTCGGGGACATGAAAGCCTTGAGTCTGACCATCCTAGAGTTCTCTAGCTTCCTGGCTTTCCCTGAGTGCCCCTCTGCCCAGGCCCACTTGAGTAGTCTGGCCTGTCTTGCCTCACGGAGACCCTGTGGCTCCCTAGGAACAGGCCAAGCAGCTCCGGCGCCGCAACATCCAGGCCCTGAAGAGCATCCTGGATGGGATGAGTAGTGTCAACTTCCAAACCACATGGTCCCAGGCCCAGCAGTACCTCATGGATAATCCCAGCTTTGCTCAGGACCATCAGCTTCAGAGTAAGCTCCCTCCTCTCATCCTCACTGACCCCAGCACCTGCCTCACACCACTCCCCTGCACCTCCTGCCCTCCTGGACGTCTCGGAATCCCCAGCACTCAGTCAGTCCCTGAACCTCTCTGGATTCCAGAGATCCCAGAATGCTTCAGGACACCCCCTCCCTCCCTCCAGGGTTTACTGTTGACCTAGACATTGTGTGTCTTTGGAGGAAGAGCTCTGGGGTGGGAATCAGAAGACTTGGAGGTCATTTTTATAGCTCATGTGAATACGGTTTTAAATCGTCATGGCACTGTAGGCCTTAAGTGGTCACATGTTGCAGTAAGCCTATAACCACTGGCCATACCTTCTGTTATTCACTTTCTAAAGTTGCATCAAAGCCCAATTGATTCCCAGGTCCATGAAAAGTAAGACCTCAGATCCTGAGATAACTAGTTTCTTATGATGACTTTTAGTAACCAAATTCCTGAGAAGTGAATAGTTGCTAATTTTTTCTCATACAATTAATGAACCCTCCTCACAAACCACCATTCCAGTAGCCTCTCCCACAGAGCCCCCTGCTCCCCTTGCCCCACCACCCTGGGTGTCCCCCACACCTACCAGGGTAGCATCTTTAAAGCACTGGGGGTCCTGGGTCTGAGAGGGTGTCCCACTGGTGCAGTGCCCACTGAGCTTCCTCCCTGTGGTTAGACATGGACAAGGAAGATGCGCTGATATGCTTTGAGGAGCACATCCGAGCTTTGGAGAGGGAGGAGGAGGAGGAGCGGGAGCGGGCCCGGCTTCGGGAGCGCCGCCAGCAACGCAAGAACCGGGAGGCCTTCCAGGTATCTTTGCTACCCTTTGGGTTAGAGCTCATCTCTGCCCCAGGCCGTCACTGCTTCACCCATGTTCTGCCTCCTCTTTGCCGGGCCCACTGTTTTGTCTGTGCCCAGCCCTGTCCCACCTCCACGAGGCCTCTCTATACCTACAGTTTTGCTCCTTCTGTGTCCCCTCAGCTCTGGGCCATACTCCTCTAGGGAGACTGGACGTCTGCACCACCCAGAACCTGCCAGTAGAGAGCACCCTAAAAGCATGGCTCGGCAGCTAGTTTATTTCCATTCGGTGGGGAGCCAGACAGGCATAGCTAGCTTGTCCTTCAGCTTGGAGGTAGCATTGGGGTTACTTAGCTGTAACACTTTTAGAAAGTTGAAACCAAGTCATGGGAAGATTGTGCTATAGGCAAGTTTCCATTTCTTTGCCTCCCAGTGTGGCCCATTCTCATTTTGAGTCTATCCCTTTCTCTTTACACTCTCTTTTCACATTGCTCTCTGCCTCCCTACCTGTATCTCTTCATCTTTGCCTCCCTTGCCTGCATTTCCTCAGTCTGGGTCGTCCCTGTGTCTCCCTGCCATCCCCTCTCTTCCTACCCAGTATTTAGTTTTGCCTCTCCCCCTTTCTCACTCCCCCTGTAACTGGCCTCTCCCTGCTCAGACCTTCCTGGATGAGCTGCACGAGACAGGGCAGCTGCACTCTATGTCCACCTGGATGGAGCTGTACCCAGCTGTCAGCACTGATGTCCGCTTTGCCAACATGCTGGGCCAGCCGGGTAAGGCAGCCGGGCTCCCCCTCCTCTGGCCTGGCTTCCTGCCCTGCCAGCCTCTCTGGACTCCCATTCCCTGGTCCTGTCCTCGACCCCTCCCCCAGGCCTTGGGAAGCTGCCGCCCGCCAGGCCCCCCTCCCTCCCTCCCCCGCAGGCTCCACCCCTCTGGACTTGTTCAAGTTCTATGTGGAGGAGTTGAAGGCACGATTCCATGATGAGAAGAAGATCATTAAGGACATCCTTAAGGTGAGGGAGGCCTGGGGTTGCCAATGGATACAGGCTGGGTACAGGGCACGCTCCCAGGACAGGACTGCCCAATAAGTCCTGTTTTGCAGGAGCATTGCAGCCTGGTTCAGGAGATAGCTACTGTGATCCTTTGTTGTGCACTGGGGACACAGAAATGGATAAGACACCATTTCTGCCCATAAGGAGCTCATGGCCTAGTTAGGAAGACAGACATGACAGCAGCAATACAGAGGGGCAAGTGTTACTACAGAGATGAGAATCAGAAGAATCGAACTGTACCTCTAAGAACGAGTAGGTGGAGGAGGGTGGATGTCCAGGGCACAGGGTACTACAGGAGCAAAGGCAAGGGGCACAGGGCATGGCGGGTTTGAGCAGCAAGAAGCACAGCTAATCAGAAACTGGGAGCCCACAGGTATGTTCCTTCTGCCTGCACAGTGTTTTAGAGGAATTTGGAATTTGTTGCTAACATTTTAAAATCAAGTGATTACAATTAAAATCTGCATCTTCAGCTTCTCTTGGAAATTTGGATTACCTAGCAGCACTGGACTGGTTTTGTGAGGCATTCAGTGGACTTGAGCCAAGACGCCACTGCCTTTTAGAGGGGGCATGTCATCCTTATCTAGCCTTACTCTTCCCTGTCACCTCCATGACATGGGAGGAAGTCCATCTGCCATTTACCATCACACGTGCTCGTTGGAGAATTCTCAATGTCCATGGCTATCAAAGGGAGAAGTGAGTGATGGACTAAGAGAGCCTTGTGTTTCAGAAAAAGATAACAAAGAGAAAGCATATTTCTTTGTGGCAGTGAAGAGCATTCCGATGCCTTTGAGGGGGCAGTGTAGAGAAGTGGTTAGGAGCAAGACAGTGAAGGCAGACTTGGGGGGTGAGTGTCTAGCTTAACTGCCACAAGTTGTGTGACTTTGGGCAGGTGACTTAATCTTTCTGAGCCTGTTTCCTCATCTGAAAAATGGGGAGGATTCCTCCAGACGGCACCTGATTACCAAGGGGAATAACTTGGTACCTGAGGTGAGGAGGGTCTGAGAATAAAGCTAGAAACGTCCCACTGCACACACATTTCTTTGAAGTCCCGTGTTTTGCCTTAAAAATTCATGCAGGTGTTGTATTTTAATACTGTAATACCTCTCTGTTTAATACAAACTTAATATTTTAAAATTACTTACCATTAAGTAAGATGTATCATATTGTCCTGTGGCTTCCTCTGTTTCTCTGGAACCACGTGTCCCAGGTGGGAAGGAGACCCCTGGATGTGAAATTCCTTGAGTGCTAAAATAAGGAATTTGGATTTTTCTCTTGTAAGTCATGGGGAGCTGGGGAATGATATGATCAGGCAATGTCTTAGAGAAGCCCATGTAGCGTAGGGCAGCACCTCTCAGCCCGAGTGCTGGCGTCCTTAGGGGTGGGCGGTGGTAGGAGGGCAGGACCTGAAGCCTCAGGATGCTGAAAGCGATAGTGGCAAGTGATTCAAATTCTGAGCTTCTGACTCACCCCGAGACCTCTCCCCTGCTGTTGGGGCCATTTGCTGGAAAAGTCCGGGACTCTTGAGGCAGGGTAAGAAGCGGTAGTGGTGGGGTGATTAGAAACACAGAGATGAGGCAGGAGTTGCTGCAGTGATCTAGGTGGGAGGGAGCTCAGGGCAAGCAGTGGGGACAGTGGGTGAGGAGAGAGGTGTAGTGCTCCAGGCTCTGAAGCACCCTGGGTTTCCTCAGAGGTGCCTTGGTTCAAGCAAGGAGAGGGTGGTGGGGACTTTATGCCCCTTACTTTATTTTCAAGTGTAAAAGCTTATTTCTCTTTTACATTGAGGTTCTACATAAGATTTTTATTGAAAAAATGTTTCTGCTATTAAAAAAGTTTAAAACCAGTAGGCTAGAGTCAGTCAGAATTAACAGATTTTTTTGGTGAAATTGAGAGAAGGAAGGAATGAGTCAGAGGTGGCAGGAGTGGACTGATGATACCACTGGTAAGGATTAAGCAGGAAGAACAGGGCTGGAGAAAATCGGAATTCTATTTGGGGAATTAGTCCCAAAAGCAACCTGGGGCAGAGATGAGTAAAGCAAATATCATAATTTAAATCAGATAATCGTATAAAGTAGAAATATCTAATCCCAAGAGAGCTAAATTTTATTGGACACTTAACTTTTAGCCAAAGACTGGCTGGTACTGCTGACAGGCCTGTAGGAGTCCTGTCCTTGCTGAGTCCTGTCTCTCCACGCCCCCTGAGAAAGAATGTTCTTTAGACAGGTGTCCCCCTTGTTCCCCGTTTTGGACTTCTGTCTGTGAAAGGCAGGTGAGCCCAGGGATCCCTGTGGCCATCCAGTAGCCAGGCAGACTGTGATGGCACCTCGTATCCCGTATTGTAACGCAGATTCCTGGACTTGGAAAGCTGGAAGACAGAAGATCCGGGCCTGGGAGATCCATGGAACTAGGGTGTGGGGTGAGGGGCTTGCGGGAAATGAATGCTCTTGGAATCTGCTGAATTTGATGTGTCTGTGAAATATCCAGTCTGGTTTGGCTTTGGAAGTCAGGAGAGAGGCGGGAGATGAGATTGCTAGGGACAATGTAGTTCGTAAAGACTAACTGCTGTTCTCAGGGGAACCAGCACATGCAAGAGAGGTGGTAAAAGATCAGAGAGACAGGAGGGGACCCTGGAGAGGGGAGCACTGAAGTGAATGTCCTTGGAGTTGGCTCGGGGGCCATGAGAAACATCTGGGAGAGCAGTGTCCGTGAAGAGAGTAGAGTGGGTGTAGCATGGGCTTTAGAGTGGGATACCTTCTGGCTGCTTATTGGTCGAGACCGCAGAAGTTTATATATCTCTGAGCCTCAGTTTCCTCATCTGTAAAATGGGGTTAATCTATGCAAGGTTGTGAGAATTAAATGATAATAATTGTAGTGTTTTGCTTATAGCAGGCTCAATACATGTTTATTTGTTTTCCTTTGTGCTGCATTTAAGGATTTTGACACAAGGGGGAAGAAGCAGAGGTTGTTAGCCTGAGGAAGATGAGGGGAGGGTGGAAAGGATGCTCCAGGTTAAGTGAGGTGTGTACTTGATGGAAGGAGCCAGTGAAGAGGTGAGATTGAAGTTTGCAGTTCCCTAGGGGAGAGCATGGTGTGTTTTGAGGAGAAGGGCTGGAGGCCAGGGCTTGAGGAGGTCCTCTTGGAAGAAGCAAGAAGAGTATGCCTCTGCTGTCAGCAGGAAGGCCAGAGCAAGTTAAAACCGTGTGGAGGGAGAGGAAGGGAGTCTGGGCCCACGCCCAAGCCCAAGCCGACTCGAGAGCCAGACTCCAGACTCTAGTGGCTCTACTTTCCACTGAGTTGTCTTGGTCCAAGTGAGATAACTTTCCTAAGCCTTGCAGTGTTGTGAGGCTTAGGTGAGAAGCACAGAGCCTGGTCCCTGGTGCTTCAAGAAAGAGAGGTGTTTCTAATATTGTTCAGGAGTTGCACACCTGATGGCTTCTATTTCTCCTGTGGACTAAGTGATCTGTATGGGTGTAGTGCTTAAAAGTAGGGGCTTTGTTGTTAGAAAGACCTGGGGTAGCGTTCTTGTTCAGCTATATATTAGCCTTGAAGACCTTGGGCAAATGTCTAGTTTCTCTAAACCTTGGTTTCCCCTTCCACATAAAATTAGGAGACTAGGACCTAGGTTTAAATTCAGATTAAATGAGGGGGGATTAACTGAGATAATGTGTGTGAAGCACTACACACAGTACCTGGTACCTAGTAAGCAATCAATAAATATAGCCAAAGGGTGGGACCCGCAAGAGAATGCAAGGAAGCTACTGAGCAGCAGGAGGACCCAGCAGGGGCCCAAGCTTTAAGCCAAAGGAACAAAGAACTGATTGTGAGAAACTCGGCATCAATCAGCAGACCAGGCACACATACCCGCCGCCTCCCCTCCCCTGTGATCCAACCCCCCAGTTCCCTGTGACAGCCAAACCAGGGGTCGGCGTGGGAGGCTTGATTATTAGACGGTGAGGACCTGGACGACTTGGTCTCTGAAGTGCGTCCCAGTGCTGTGGCTCTCTTCCCGGGCATCCTGTAGTCTGACCCCTCCGCCTGCCCTGGAGGCTGGCCAGCTTCAGGCTCAGGCCTGCGGTGCCCCCTGCTTCATGCGCTGCTGTGCCCACAGGACCGGGGCTTCTGCGTGGAGGTGAACACAGCCTTTGAGGACTTCGCCCACGTCATAAGCTTTGACAAGAGGGCTGCTGCGCTGGATGCAGGCAACATCAAGCTGACTTTCAATAGTGTGAGGGGCCGCGCGGGGTGGGGCTGTAGCCAGGGCTCTGTTCTCAAACTCGTCCCTCGGTCTCGTTCTGTTCCTTCTCACTGCCCCAGTGTGACTCCATCTTCAGTTCAGGGGGTGATAGTAAGAGCCCAGACTCCATCTTCCCACCTTTTAAGGTATGCCTGCGTGGGGCTGGGGCACCCACCCTCCTGGGTGACCCTGTTGTGTGTCCTGTCTGCCCTCAGCTGCTGGAGAAAGCAGAGGCACGGGAGAGAGAGCGGGAGAAGGAGGAGGCACGAAGGCTGCGGCGCAGGGAAGCTGCCTTCCGAAGCATGCTGAGGCAGGCTGTGCCTGCTCTGGAGCTGGGCACGGCCTGGGAAGAGGTCAGGACTGCAGCCTGGCACCAAACACCACCCCCTCAGTCCTGAGGGCAGCGGTGCTTCTCCACCACTGGGGGCCCACCCCAGTCATAGCACAGCTCAGGGCCAGCTCCGGCTCCCTTCCTTCCTCTGCCCCAGCCCTGCCCTGTGCTCATGGCGGCATCCATGCTGTGCTGGGGCTAGTCTGATCAGCAGTGCTCTCCTGTTCAAGGTCCGTGAGCGCTTTGTGTGCGACTCAGCCTTTGAGCAGATCACCCTGGAGTCGGAGCGGATCCGGCTCTTCCGAGAGTTCCTGCAGGTACTGGAGGTGAGGCAGAGCTTCTGGTTCTCTGCGTCTGTCCTGGGCTCTGGAACACCCAAGGCTAGCTTGACAGAAAGCTCAGTGACCTCTTACCCCCAGGGCTCTCCTTTTCTGGACAATTAAGGAAGGGGAGGTCTTAGGGTGCCCTGGATAGGCCTAAGGCCCTAGCCTCAGAGGCAAAACCAGATTTTAGGATGCCAGGTCCTTCCTGGGGCTAACCCTGGTGCCTTCCCCACCCCTTCTGCCCCCACCAGACTGAATGCCAGCACCTCCACACCAAAGGCCGAAAACACAGCAGAAAGGGCAAGAAGCACCATCACAAGCGTTCCCACTCGCCTTCAGTGAGTTGGCGGATAGAAAGGACGTGGGGTGAGGCTGGATTGTCTGGGGATGAAAGAAGAACCACTTTTCTTGCTTTTCCCCTACATCACCTCCCCTGGAGGGAGATTTGAGGATTCCTTTGGTCCTGCATCCTCGTCTCTGTCCCCAGCTCCCAGACTTGAGGGCTTCTGGAGGGCAGAGAGCCTCTACACTGACGTGTGTCTGCTGCTCTCCCCAGGGCTCTGAGTCGGAAGAGGAGGAGCTGCCCCCACCATCTCTCCGGCCCCCCAAGCGGAGGCGGCGGAACCCCTCGGAGTCAGGCTCCGAGCCCTCTTCCTCACTTGATTCTGTTGAAAGTGGGGGTGCTGCCCTTGGAGGACGAGGTTCCCCATCCTCCCGCCTTCTCCTTGGATCAGGTAGGCAGTTGGGAACTGGACAGGTTGGCCCAGACCAAGAGGAGGCCTTGGGGGAGCCCCACCCCACTGAGGGTGGAGTGGATTGGAAGGGTGGGACCTGTCAGAGAGAGAACTTCCCATCCCTGCCCAGGCAGGAAACTGGGAGAAGGTAGGAAAACTGGACTAACTTCCTCCGACTGGTCCCTGTCTGTGAAGGAGCAGAGAAAAGGATGAGGCCTCCCTTCTCCCATGGGACTTAGTGGGGACTTTTTATCTCCAGATCATGGCCTTCGGAAAGCCAAGAAACCAAAAAAGAAAACGAAGAAGAGAAGACACAAGTCGGTGCGTAGAGAAGGAACTCCATCCAAGGCCCTGCTATTTTAGGAGATGTCTTCGCCCGCCTCCTGGGCTGTCCTCCACGGGAACTGAGGAGGCGGGCTCTGGGCTCTTACAGAACAGTCCTGAGAGTGAGACAGACCCTGAGGAGAAAGCTGGCAAGGAGAGTGATGAGAAAGAACCAGAACAGGACAAGGACAGGGACCTCCGTCGGGCAGAGCTCCCTAACCGTTCCCCAGGCTTTGGAATTAAGAAGGAGAAGGTGAGAGGCAGGCGCCCGACCCCAGCCCAGTCAGCGCTCTGTCCAGGCCTCCGCAGCCCTCGGGGGAGGCGGTGGGTGAGCTGTGCCTTTGCTCCACCAGACGGGCTGGGACACGTCGGAAAGCGAGCTGAGCGAGGGTGAGCTGGAAAGACGGCGGCGGACGCTCCTGCAGCAGCTGGATGACCACCAGTGACCTGACAAGCCACCCTGCCTCGGGTCTGTGTGAGGCTGTGGCCTAGGTCACCCTCACCGTCTGCCCCAGACTTCTTCCTTAGTTGGGTCTGTGTCCACTTTTCCTCAAGTAACCCCAACCCCATCACACCATTGCAGGCACCTACCAAGGTTGCTCGTGGTGTTCAAGGGTCCCCCACTTCCCGGACAACTAGTGCAGTCCTTGCCCTCAGCCCCTGACCGGAGATTGGTGGTGTATGCCATACGGGGTGGGTGGTGCCAGTAGATAAAATGTGAGGGGGGGGCCTCTAGGAAGAGGGACAGGCTGGTGGACACAGCCTGGGTGGCAGAGGGCAGGATCCTTACCCTCTAGCATCAGTGCCTGCTCCTGCCTGCCCAGGGCCCTTGGGGCTCCACCACTCCTTCCTCCAGCCCCAGGGCCCAGTGTATGTGTGTTTTGTTTTGGTTTGGTTTTGGTTTTTAAATAACAATATTTATAACGTGGCCAGTGGCTCTTCTGTCTTCTCCATGTGCTACTGAGGCAGGCTGGGGACTGGACAGGTACACACATGGCCAGCAGAGGGCACTGGTGTCTCAGCAGGCCTGCCTCCCTTTGTGTGGTTGGAGCCCACCTAGCCAGGTTCCCCTTCCCCAGGCTTCTGTACCCACCTACCCGAGGCAGACGGCAGCTCTGCCCAGCTTCTTTTCTATCCCCGTGGCTCAGGTCAGGCTAAACAGCCACCTTAGTGCCCCACCCAGAAAGAACAGTCAGGCCTGGTGTTTGAAGCCTTTGTTGAGAGAAGGAAGGTCTGGAGTTTATATACAAAAGAGAAGGGAAGTGGTACATGTACAAAAAGGAGTGGGCCCCTGTCTTCCCTTCCAGAGGCTGAGAAGAAACTGGCAGGGGACTGAAAATCGTCAGCCAAGACCACTATGACCCTGCCCCCTGCTAAAAAACAAAATACAAAAAAACCTAGCTGAGGAAAGGAGGTGAGGATGCTGTTGGCAGACCCTTTCTCTAGGAGGGCAGAGAAAACCATTCCTCTGCCCACCGTAGGACAGAGTCAGCCTAGAATGCAAAGGACCAAGGGTAGGGAGCGTGGCATCTCTCCTCTACCCTTATCACTAGGGCACAGCTGGGCAGGCCCAAGCTTAGGAGAGCCTTGCTCCTGTAAATGATCTGAGATTGGCAGGATCCCAGAGCTCCTTAAGCCTGGACACTTCTAGATCACAGCTGACCATGGGGCTGCAAGAAGGAAGGAGAAGAAGGATAATTGCTTTCTCCTGTCATCCCTCTGGCTCTTAGGTGCCCCTATGTAGCCTAAAACTGGAAATGGTTTTTTCCAGCCCTGAGTTGACCCTCGAGGAAATGAAGTTGAAGACCTTGGGAGCAAAGTGCAGTACTGGAGGCACCAGGGAAGTGCCAGGCCCCAAAGGACCTAGTGCCCACTGTGGCAGCAGGCAGGATGCAGCTTTGAGAGCTGGGGTGAACACTGCGTTGAGAGCAGCACAGCCTTCTGCTGCGCCCTTGGCCAATTCCAGGGCTTCAGGTCCACTTGCTGGACCTGCAGGACTCCTAAGGTTGAAGTGCTTCTGCCTCCAAGAGGGTCTCAGTGGGGGCCTGGAGCCCGAGGCGGGCCAGTGGGCGGTGCGGCACTCTTGGCTTGGTGGCAAACAGCAAAGGGCTGGTGGTGGAGGCCTACGGGGAAGACAGAGGCCTGTGAACAGGCAAGGAGGCCAGGCTGGGCCCATCCTCTGTAGGCCCAGCCTCACAGGCAGGGCCAGCGAAGAGCCAGCCATGAGGCCAGTGAGGGAGAAGATTAAAGAGAGGCTGGAGGGGATAGTCAGGGAGATTTCTGCCGCAGGCTCTGCATTTCCAGAGGAACAGGTAGGGGTAACTAGAGGCCCCTGGGGAGTGGCAGAAACAAGGTAGACTCGGCAAGAGCTAGAAGCTGGGAAGAAACCCCAGGCAGATTGGATATCAGGCAACAGGTCAAGGGTCATCTGATACCCTTGGGCAGAAGCCACTGCCAGAGCTCTTCTGAGGAGGCAGGAACAAAGGACACCTGGGCCCAGGACCAGAGCCTCTCCGCCTCTGTGACCAAAGGTGGCGGCCTGGTCCTGCCTGCTCTGGCAACTCCCTACCCCTTGGGTCTTAGTAGAAGCCAGGATAGCATTAGTGGGAGAGATACCGCTTCCCTGAGGGCACATGCAGGGGATAAGCCATGCTTCTCAGAGCATGGGGCATGCAAGGGAAGAAGTATGTGTCCCCATCACCACAAGACTGCCAGAGGATAGTTCCAAGTCATGCAGGACATGCAGGAGAGGGGGTGCCTTAGGGCCCCAGCAGGAGTCCTGGGAGGTAGGCATGCAGAGAGGGCAGCTGTAGTGCCCAGTACCTGTCAAGAGCCCCAGCCTTGGGGGTTAACAGTTTGACTCATCATGGTGGGCTGCATCGCAGAAGAAGCGTGAGCCCCGCTTGGCAGTACGGGCCGTGAAAGGGACACTCTTCAGCACTGTGGCCCAGGAAAGAGACAGTGGTCAGGCCCCATGAGGATGGGGCTGGGGTTTGGGAGCTGGGCCCAGTGACCAGGCACCAGGGAGGGAAAAGGGCCCCACCTGTGATGATGTCCTCAATGGTACCATCCTTCCCCTCATAAACAGGCCGGTGTTCCTTGGCCTGGCGCCGCCTCAACTCTGCAATTAGCTCCTGTTGTTGCCACTTGTTCCTCTGGGATGGGGTCTAGAGTCGAACATTTGAAGGGAAAGGGAGTCACCATCCTTACCATGGGGCTGGTTCCTGTCCCAAGAAGCAGTCTGAGGACACCCTTGATTGTGCTTGGCAGCCCAGCCCCCATCATTGCCCAGGAATCCCCTTCCAGAGCACCTCTCCTCATCCCTTTGGACTCCAGCGTCAGGCCCTCTGGGTGGTCCCTGGGCTCCGGTTTTCCATCTCCTCTGCTCCACCCCCTCCTAATCCTTTGCCCTGTTCTCCAGGCCTCAGCTCTTGGTCCCACCCACCTTGGCATCCAGTTTCTTGGCTTCCTGAGCCAGCTGCTTCTCCCGCATTACCTCCTCCTGCTTCTTTCGGGCTTCGTTCTCTTGTTCTGCTTCCTAAGAACCATGGAAGATGGGGGCGATGTGTGTGTGTTTGTGTGTGTAGTGAGGCTCACACAGGCTGTGAGGGGAGGGGCTGACACTGAGAGTGGAGAGTGGGTGTCAGTGGGACCAGCAACCCCAGGTGGCCACCCTCTGGAGGGGCACTTCCTGCCCCAAACAATGACAGGAAGGGCCTGGGCCCCCACCCTGCCCACCAGTTCACAGCTAAGAGGCCTGTGGCCAGCTTCCATAGCTCCCTCCCAGGACTCAGAGGAGGAGACGGAAAAGGCCCAGACTTGAAGCCCAACCCTCTCTCCCCCTACCAGTTTTCTCTCAGCCAGACTCCTCTTTAAAAGCCCCTCTTGTGCTCACCTTGTAAGAACGGATGAATCGGACAAATACTGGGAAGAATACAGAAGGAGGTGTGGTCTTGGGACTCTCACCGAAGTAGCGTACAACTGCATTATAGGCCTCCTGGGGAAGGGATGGGCAGAAGGGGTCAAGCCCGGCAAGGAAGGAGAAGCCCAGCTCCCGCCAGGACAGGAGGCCCACAGAAAGCAGGCCAAGGCCAAAGGAGGAGCCCCTGTGGGAGGGAAGAGAATCTGGGGCTCCCAAAGCCTCTGGAATGCGCATCTCCAGCGGCAGCTGCCTGCCCCCTCCAATACCCCCTCTCCCCCACAATCAGCCAGCCAGCCACCTGAAGAAAGTTCTTTGATCCGAGAGCCAGAACAGAGCCCACCTAGAGGGGCACGGTGCCTTACCCCTGGCTGCTCACACCCACCTCCACCCTGTGCTCACCTCAGCCGTCTTGGCGTCACGCTGGAGCTTGTCCAGTTTGCCTTCGTTGGTGCTAAGGAAGTTCCGCAGGACGCTGTTGTCATGTATGCTACACTCCCGCCGAATCAGCTCCATGCCCCGGCCCAGCTCCTTCACATCCAGCAGCACGTTCTCCAGGGACACTGTTGTCACCGGAGCGTAGGCTGAGGCCCGTCCAGCCCGACATGCCCACCTCCCAGCCCAGGGTTACAGCGAGATCCAGCCCTCCCCTTGGCCTGGGCTCACTCAGTTTCTCACGCCCTGCTTCCAGAGCCACCCACCTGGACAGAGAGGGGGCACCAAGCTAGCCAGGCTCTCACCGGGGCCAGGAAAAGGAATGGAGGCTGTAAGCTCATGACCCGCAAGGCAGCAAAGGCAGGCAAGCCAGAGAGAATGCTGGTCTCCAAAAGAGAGCTGCCTTGGGCCTGCCCCCGATTTCATGAGTGGGGCAAAAATAACAGGTACCTTTTGTCTGTGCAGGGCTTTATGGGTTTTCTAAGCACATCACATACATCACAGAGACATGCAAGCTCTGGGGCCAGCCTAAGGGAGTTGGGAGTGAAGAGCCTTTCTCTGCCAGCAAGCACAGCACCCAAATGGGAAGGACCGGGCAGGGCCTGCTGCCTGGAGGAAAGCTCCCTCTGCGGTGGCCCCTGCCCATGGCCCCAGCAGAAAGCTTTGAAGTGGTCAGGGAAAAAAAAACAGCCAGAAACAAAGGCACTCAAGTGTTCTCTCTCCTCGTAGCTTCCTGGGATTGTCCCAGGCTGGACATAAGGGCGGGCTCACTGGGCCAGGATCCCCTTACCTGCCGCAGCTTTTTCCACAAAGTGCAGCTCATGCCAGAAGTTAGCCAGGTCTGGGTATTTCTCCTTTACCGTCAAGGCGATGAAATGCAGTAATGTCATCTTTCTGTCAGTGGACTTGGTGTCCAGCAGCTGGGAGGAGGGGACGGTGGGCAATGAAAGGGCTGAACACTCTGGCTCCATGGCCACCGCCCTCCAGGCTTCCTTGGCCCCTCGTTGCCCCCACATCTTACCAGATCCAGGCTCTGGAGCTTGAAGCCATACACAGCTCCCCGCTTGCTGCTGTTCATGTAGTTCCCCAGTGCAAGTATGATCTGTCCAAAGATGCACGCGAGGAACTTAGGCCAAGCTGAGGGCTCCTTCCTCCTCTCTATAGCCCCACGACCCCCCCCCCCGCCCAGGA